CCCCCCCCCCCCGCCTATTTTCTCCAAAAAAAAAACTTAGTCCCGCAATAGTAAAAACAGAGGATTTTGCTTCCAAAGAATTTTTACAATTATATTAATTATTATTGGTATTTACTGCTTTCGAGACATCACGTCCCACCCAGCTAACCGACACGGCCCAGCAGTGGGACGCGTCCCATCGGCTGAGAAACAATGCTATAGTTTATAAGATTTAAAAGTTTGTGACGATGGTACATTAGTACAAATATTATGTTTCTGGACATTATCCATCATCCTGTCTTTATCTAAAAACCATCCTGTTTATTTTTCCCAAAATACGTTTCGGAGACTGGATTCTGTCTCCGTCTTCAGATAAAACATACTCAGTTGGGCCCAATCGATAGAGCTAGTCCTTATCTCCAGACCAACAGGATTTTAGATAAAGACAGGACGATGGATAATGACCTAAAACATATTTGTGCTATAGTTTATATTTTGGATCCAGACATGGAATATGTCCGACATGACACATACTCTTTGGTTTCATCTGCAGCACAGTGCACGGCAGGTCTCCAAAACATATTGCTTCCATCCAGCCCAGGAAAATGTCAAACAAATGCTCAAATTGTAGCAAATGAACGTCAAAGCTGAATCACGTGTCGAAAACGTGCACTTTTTGCGGTCCCACATGCATCTGCTTGCAAATGGCAGTGCATAATAAATGCAGTGTAAACACAGACTCAAGGCTACCGTTACATGGCCGGTTATTTCAACTTACAGAGGGACAAACACTTCTGGTAACAAAACGTACATATACAGCGCCACTGCGTAAAAGAGCCAAACTAAACATTATTGGAGTTGAGGTTATCACGTCAGTGAATATTAAGAGTTGCCACGCCATGTAGTTCAGACAGTCCGACGTTTCGGTGCAACGTATGATCTTCATCTTCAGGGTCAAAGTATAAGCCAAGAGAGAAACCAGCAGAGGCAGGAAGCAAGATGAGAGTTTTATACGTGAAGGTAGAGGCGAAATATTCCTCAGAAACGTCATTCCCTTCCCAAACTACATGTAGTTACGACCCAAAAGGCCATGCTCTTCAAATCAAACATTAATTTAACCCTGGCCCATTTCCGGTGAAACAATCTATCGGCTGTAAATTAAGTTTAGGAGTCCTACTGCACATCGAACAGACTCCGAACATGTGTTCAGTTTCGGAAATGGCGATTTGTAAGCATTGCAGAATCTGGTAAATTTAAAGGCACCTAGATAGAAAAAAAAAACAGGTGGAAATAAAGGTAAGAAAAGATTAAGGAAAATTTCGTTTTAATAGACATTTCAGATAGCACGAAGGTGGATCCAGTATGTTTTCCGAAACGTCACAACCATCTATAACATTACGCGTACACAGTGTCACAACCCATAAATCCACAACATGAATGTGTGAATTCTGTGTTAATTAATTTTACGTTTCATTTCACTGAATGTCCGGCGTTCCAGCCTCCCTTTATATATAGCTTAGACACACAGGAATTTCCAGTATTACAGCAATTATTATAGAATATTCAAGTTCATGAACATAAAGAAACCCGGGGATAGAGTCCACGGTACTTAAAGTCCATACAACTCTACACATCACGATAAACAAAACTAACATAACAATGTACTCAGTCTTCCAAGAGGTCCAAGTAATCCTGAAGGCTTGTTGGTATATGCAAACTCCTGATACCCAGTGGTAACTGCCAGTTCTTTCCAAGAACATTCCTAATAGCACATCGACTTAAATGTTTAAGTTCAGGTGGGATTAATCCAGAACGTGAAGGCGGTATCATACCTTCCTGTAGAAGTTTCGGGTGAACGTACAATGTACTCAAACCACAAGTATCCCTGCCGATGCAAACACGAACTTCACCATCGAATGAATCGCTTGGGAGTGTTGCCATTGTGGGGACAGCACGGATCAACATTTTTAAACAGGAGAATGGACCTTCAATTTGATTTAATGGTGAATTGGAAACATGAACTCTGCAAAACTGAATCAATGGTCGTTCCACTGGCAACTCGCCAGTTTCGTAATCAAACATTATAGAGGCACCATACCGTAAGAGAAGAAGCAATACGTCAGCTTTTCCAAACTGGGCAGCAATACGAAGAGGCTGAGTTCGTGTGTAAGATTCCATGGAAATGTCAATGAACCTTGTTTTCCTTCCATTATTTTCATATTCAAGTTTTGCCTCTGTGGCATGATTGAGGAAGTATTCAATAGCTGAAAGATTTTCTTCGGGATTTTCGAAATCACTCTTCCACCCTGATACTAAGTTTGTTACTCGTGTCCCCAAAATGGCACCAACGAACAGACGTTCAAAAGTGTGTTCACAGTGGTATATGTCGTTTAAGAGGTGCGCAACTATTGTATTGTCTTTCAGCTTCCAATCATAGCAGAGTTTAGTAGCGATATAAAGGATATTGTGGAATTTACCCATAAGACACACTTCTCCATTCGAAGTTTTCGAATTGTCATGATACCGTATGGCCGCCATGACAGCACATGCTACTGCTGTTGCTTCGGCGCAACCTTCGCCGCGCACATACCCTTTGATCACAGTGTTGAGGTAATCCACAAGCTGGCGTCGCTTGTACCGTGCCATGAAATAATTTCGTTCCAGTTGGCAAAACACATCATCAAAGTAGCAATCCAGAATCACGTCCATAAAGATAATCTTTTCCTTATAGTACTGTCAGTAATTTACATGCAGACCTGAATGGTAATATAACATGAATCCACTTTCTAGTAAATGGAAACAGATACAAAAGAATGTCAGCACAATACATTTCTATACTAACGACTGGTTAAGTGCCGTGTTGCTAAGAACAAGACCAACATGTGACTAACAATGGGGAACAGATGAAGCCTTGAGAAAGATTATATAGTAATGGGATTGTTTCTCTCATAAGGTTTCTTTCACGTAACATGGTCAGCTTCGACTAGGAGTACATAATCCAATTTCATATAGGCTAAGCCTGATAATTGCCAATACGTTTATGTCTAAAAATACTTACTTACTTACTTAATTAATTCCTCTTACACGTTTACAGTTTCGAGTTTTTTTATTTTGATCATTTTACAGACGGTAGGACTCCTTGGGCGAGTGATCAGCTCGTCGCAAGGCCTCTACCTAAACACAGGACAACATAAACACAGAATAAACACATACACATACCAAATATCCATGCCTTCTGTGGGATTCGAACCGACGATCCTGGCTTCCGAGCGAGCGAAGACAGTACATGCCTTAGACCGCTCGGCTACCGTGACCGGGTGTCTAAAAATATACCTATCTTAAATCTAAGTGACTGAATAAATAAATAAATAAATAATGGTAATCTTATTAAAAACTTTCGAAACGTTATATTTAGGTGGCCAGTAATGCTTCACTGTCTGCAACCTGTTGTGTATCAATATGTTCTTTTATCACACGGCCATCAACACAAGAAATTCGAAATATATAAAACAATATTACTGCATTAACATTTGTTTATTATCCTGCATCTTCTACATGTTTCGATCCAGCTGGAGCATCATCAGGCAGTTTTCATTATACACCACTCGTTACTGAACCGTGCTCTAGTATGGATCCATAGCAGTAATTATATCAATATGCCGGAGACAGTAGCCGCGCGGCCTAAGGCATGAACTGTCTTCGCTCACTCGAACGCTGGGATCGTGGGTTCGAATCCCATTTAAGGCATGGATGTTTGGCGTGTGTGTGTATGTGTTTATTCTGTGCTTGTGTCGTCCTGTGTTTAGGTAACGGCCTTGCGACGGGCTGATCACTCGTCGAAGGAGTCCTACCGTCTCTGTAAAAATTGTTACGGAACTGAATAAGAGGTCAGGGCCTTGAATGGGCTGGAAGAGCTATTGGGAAAAAAAAATTATATAAATACAAATTTCATTACCAATTTCTAAGTTTCGTTGTGTAACTAAATTTGTAATTATAGTTATAAGGGTTAAAATGTT